TGGAGTCAGATTGCCTGAGTAGAGTCCTGGCTCCATCACCTACATCTCATATGACTTGAGGCAAGGTACTTAACTTCTATTTGCTTTAGTTTCCTTATCTGTAAGTGAAGATAATCATAGTACCTACCTCATAGGGTTGTTGTGAGAATCTAATGAGATGATAACTTGCAAAACACTTGAGGCTCAATAAATATTAGCTATTATAACATTATTGTTATTATTTGTGCAGCAGCTCCATGAAGTTGAGAAGGAATGTCACTAAATCTTGATGCCAGTTCCAGAGAGCTCATTGGGTGGCTGCTAAACACTTTAGATGCATGTACCCTATTTGATCTTCATATCAGTCCTATAAGGTGGTTGGGGTTAAGAACAGCACAGCTTGGAGCTAGTCTTGGGATTACAGGGGGAAGAGACAGCATTTGTCCAAAAGCTCACTTTAAGGGGTACAATTTTCTGGGCTCTGAGAATGGATTTATAGCAGTACCTCTATTTTGAAATACCTTTGCTTTGTCCAAGTGACCTCCTCCCACACTGAGTACCAGAATTAGCTCAGATTTTTTTCTTGATATTGGCAACACTTAATGATTACTTCTTTGTTTATAACATTTCATTTAATTATTTAAAAATCTGCAAAATGTTGTGTATGTTTTACCACAATTAAAAAAAAATCTCCAAGTGTAGACCACACTCCAGCATTTCTAAAAATAAAGGAAACATGTTAAAATAAGGTAAGAGTGAGTTTTTGCTACATTATATTTTTTTAATTAAAAGTTTCCCCCACAAAAGAAATGATACTCCAAACACAGTTTGTGTGTTTAACAGCACGATTCTCTTAGGCTTCAGATTTCCTTCAATAAAAGTTTTTTTTTTTTTTTAATACATTCTGTCATGAATTGAATGAAGTAAATAATTAGTATGCTGTCAGAAGCAAATAATGCACAAATGTTTTATGGATCTCAATATCTCGTTGTTTACTAAATTCTGAAGTATTGAGCACTTTCCAATGTGATATCCCAGCTGGTTTCTTTGCAGAAATTGACAAGTTGGTCCTAAAATTCATATGGAAATTCAAGGGACCCAGAATAGCCAAAACAATCTTGAAGAAGGACAAAGTTGGAGAACTCACACATCCCAATTTCAAAACTTACTATCAAACTACAGTAATGAAGACAGTGAAGTAATAAATTGTGAGTCCAGAAGTAAACCTTCACATTTATGGTCAATTGATTTGGACAAGGGTGCCAAGACCATTCAGTGGTGGTGCTGGGACAACTGGATATCCACATGCAAAAGAATGACGCTGGAGCCCTGTCACATACCATATACAAAAATTAACTCACAATGAATCAAAGATCTAAATGTAAGAGGTAGAACATAGAACACTTAGAGGAAAACATTGGGGTAAATCTTCATGACCTTGGATTTGGCAGTGGTTTCTCAAATACGACACCAAAAGCACAAGCAACCAAAAAGAAAAAAATAATTGGACTTCATCAAAATTTTTTAAATTTTATGCTTCAAAGGACTCTGTCAAGGGAGTAACAAAAGTAATGCACAGAATGGGAGAAAATATTGCAAATTATATATTTTATAAGGGAATTGCATCTAGAATATACAAAGAACTCTTACAACTCAATAAGTTGTAAGCTAATTTTAAAATGGGCAAAGGATCTGAATAGAAATTTCTCCAAAGAAGATATACAAATGGCCAGTAAACACATGAAAAGATGCTCAACGTCATTAGGGAAATGCAAATCAAAACCACACTGAGATACCATCTCACCCCAGTTAGGATGGCCAAAATCCAAAAGACGCTGAAAGATAAATGCTGGCGTGGTTGCGGAGAAAAAGGAACTCTCATACATTGTTGGTGGGAATGCAAAATGGTGCAACCCCTATGGAAAATGGTTTGGAGGTTCCTCAAACAGAATATTACCTACATGAAGTATTTAAATTATAGGACTGGATTAATGTTTAAACAAGATTGAACATTTAGTCTTCTGTGGAGAGAGGGGGACTTAAGACAAAGGTTCCTACTACCTAAAGGATGGAACTCAATAAGGAGACAAGATTAATCATACGTAAGATTTCTCTGTACAAATAAGTTAAAATATGAGTTAAATGCATGATCCTGCCACAGTAAATAATAATAGTAATGGTGGTATTGTTGGTAACATTGGCTGAATAGGTTTCTTAGTTGCCCATAATAGTATTAACACTCACCTGTCATGGTATTCTCAACACCAGGCACCACTTGACCCAACAAAAGAAGCATGAAAAACAGTTTATTGAAAGGACAGTGAGTAATAAAATGACTAGTACTGGAATAGAGTGTTCATTGAGAAAAGTGACTAGAGATGACACTGGAGGTGTCGGTGATGGGCCATAATAATCATATACATTGTATATTGACAAAATAAAAATTTAACAAAAAAAAAAAACCACAATGAGATACCACTTCATACATACTAAGATGGCTATAATCAAAGCTAGGTAATAATAAATATTGCTAAGGATGTGGAGAAATTGGAACCTTCGTACACTGGCTGGTGGGAATGTAAAATGGAGCAGCCACCTGGGAAAGTTATTCCTCAAAAGGTTAAACGTAAAGTTATCATGTGACTTGGCAGTTGCACTCCTAGGGGTACACCCAAGAGAAATGAAAACATACATCCACACAAAAACTTGTACACAAATGTTCTTAGCAGCATTATTCATAATAGCCAAAAAAGTGGAAACAACCCAAGTGTCCATCAGTGGATGAATGGATAAATAACAATGTGGTATATCCATGCAATGGAATGATATTCAGCCATGAAAAGGAATGAAGTGCTGATACATATTACAACATGAATGAACTTTAAAAACACTATGCTTTAAAGACAAGAAGCCAGTTACAAATCATGATTGCATTTATGTGAAATGCCCAGAACAGGCAAATCTATATAGAGACAGAAAGTAGATTAGTGGTTGCCTAGTTTTGTGGCGAATTAGTAGGTTGGGGCCGGGGGAATGGCTAATGGGTGCAAGGGCTTCTCTTTGGGGTGATGAAAATTTTCCAAAATTGTGATAATGGGTGCACAAATCAATATTCTAAAAGTCATTGAATTGTACACTTTAAGTGGGTGAAAATTGTATGGTATGTGAATTTTATTTCAATAAAACGGTCACTAAACAAAAGTTTCCAACATGAACAATTACTTGGAGAACTTTATCCCTGCCTCACAGTGTTTCATTTTTTGTTCCCTGAGCTGTACTCTTACTTACCTCCTGTGTTTGATATGGAAGCCTGTTGTGGAAGTTCTTAACTCTTGGGCTACTGCCATTTTCTCTGACTAACTGTGTCATGATCAGAGTTAATTCAACTTTCCAAATAAGGGTCTTTGTCCAGACATTTTGTCCAAAATGGATTTGTCCATGTGTCCTAAGACTGGGGTCTTCCCTCTCCCCCAAAGTGATATGTTTACATTTGAGAGAAGATTGGGCAGGGAAAAGCATTTTTCCAGGTTTATGTATACAGCGCGGGGATTAGAAAGATGCTGGGTTGAATAAAGCTGTTCTGAGCCCCAAAACACGAAGAAGGAGATTTGGGACTTTTAGGATGCTGCCTGTTCACAGAGAAGGTGAATGTGACATCCAGGATCAGGTTAGTGAGTCCATTCTCTCACCTTGGCATTTGAAAACAAAAAGTAATGAAATGAGTGGCTAGCAAAGGCTACACTGCATTAGGGGCCAGAACAGTCTTTGGATTCCCCAGTCTCTTTGGAGGGTCCTCATCCTCTGATTCTACCCCCTCTCAGCTCCTACTTTCCATATATCTCTCCTGCTCCCTCCCCGCCCCGCCCCAGGAAGGGACCTGAAAACTGAGCTATAGATGACAAATGAGACTTAAACTGCCATTCTCCCAAGCTCCCTGCTTACTGAGCTCCTCCGGGAAGGGAAGGCCAGGCCAGGCCCATTCCTTCCCAGAGGGGTTTCAAGCATCAATAGCAGGCATGTTTGTGTATTATGAGGCAGTTTGGACGGTGAGAAGCCTCCAGAGGAGAAGCCACATGGTCCTTTTTATGATGTGCATCCTGACCACTTCCTGCAAAGCTAGGAAGTCAGCTAATGGGCCTCCTCCAAGTAGCCGGGAATAGTTCATGCGCTACCTGTTTTCAAAATATGTTAACTGTGTTAAAGAATGGTAGCCCTAGATAAAGGGAAATTCCTGTGTGTTCTGGTCATCTGGGGTTCCTAAGTATAGGGAAATTTGACTTCGTACATGTGCAGCCTGTCCCATATGTATTCACCTAAATGGTGACCACGACGGGTGATTTGCCTAAATACGTTGCAGAATGGAGCTGTGTGTAGTGAGCACTCTAGACCCTCCGCAATCCCTTTGTTCCTAGGGGTGCAAACTCAGAGCAGGGGAGGCTCCTACCTCAGACGTTTGGTCGTTTGTTGTATACAGGCTCTCGGGAGGCCAGGGATCTCATCCACTGCATTCATCCCTGCCACCCAGCCACCTTCGAAACCTTCAACTGCCTACCCCTCTGGCCGGGATTTAATGAAAACCTAACTAGGAGGAACTGCAAGTCTGCTCCCCTTCTGCATTCAAAGCGAAGCTTTATGAAACTTTATGTTCCTGTTTTGAATGTGGTACATCAAAAGAATTTTCAAATTATCAGGGCTGCTTTGAGTTTCCCTGACTGCACCTTTCACAGTGTCACTGAGACAAAAAGAGAGAGAGCAGCAAATTACTCCTGCTACTCAGGCTTTTGTAAGAAAATTGTTTTTAGGGACATTTTCTTCCTATTTTCTTTGGCCCCGAGTGGGAAATAAGTTCATTTTTCTTTCTCTTTCATTGAAATCAGAAACTCTATCTTTCAAATATATATATATATATATATATCTGGCTCTGCATTGAAAAGCGCTTGTAAGATACAGCCCTGTTGGTCACAGTGGTATGTCAGGGGTCACCCCACGGCCCGCTCCGGTCCCTGCCCCGCCGGTGGGTGTCAGGTGCACTTGCTGACACACTCCAGCAGCTCCATCCGGATGGCGATGCGCACATGCCAGCCCAGTGGGATCAGGCGGATGAAGCGGGAGATGATCGGGGGCCGCAGAAGGTTCTGGACTGTGGAAGTTCGATCCGAGTTTCCATAGAAGACCTACGAAAGAAGGAAGGAGGAAATCCTGTCACCGTCACATCAGGGGAGGGGAAAGAAAGAACAACTCCCGTGTGGAGCTAGCTCCAACTTTCAACCGTGTAAAATCTCAGGAAGTGATTAAAGCACAGAGAATTTGCAGGTGCTCCCCGTAGTCTGACCCTGAGTGATGGTCAGCACCTACATGCTGGTGGCATCTCTGAGGCACTCACTACATGGGGACATCTGGAACTGCATCATCCTACATGGTAGCCACATGCATCTATGTAAATTTAAATGAATTAAAATGAGATAAAAATTCAGTTTCTCAATACCATTAGCCACATTTCAAGTGGTCAATAGCTACATGTGACCAGAGGCCACCATATTGGACAGTGCAGATAGGACCATTTCCATCTTCTCAGAAAGTTCTATTGGATGGCCCTGATAGGAAATGCCTCTTGACTCTTAACACCAATTTTGTGTTTTTATCCTTTGCATTTTGACAAGAAGTTTTGAAAACCCACATCACAATCCCACAAGAGGAATGTTCCCGTGTCCTGCAGGTATCCAAAATGAGGCTCAAATAAAAAGTTGTGCCTGGTTCTGAAGTTGTGAGCCAAAGCTTAAATGTGTGTTCCTACTTTGATACAAGTGACAAGTACCTTTTAGACTTGGAAAAATGTTTTTTTCAAAAAGACAAAAACTATAGGGAAGATTCTGGAAAGTGAAGGGCAGTGCCAGAGTAGAAAGAAAGAGGGTTTGCTTAGTGTTTTTCAGGATGTAACATGTAAAGGTGCAGTGGGTGTTCGACACTATTTCCAAAGAAATCATGCTTTGCACTCTTTCCAGAGTCGTACTGCTCTGCCCCATGACACTGGGACGTTTCATTTCCTTCTGGGATTATCTCCTGCAAAATCTGGCTGTTGCATTTGGCCTCATTCATCCACAAAACAGGAAGGGCCTTGTCTGCCATGATCTTGCCTTTCTTCCCAGTACCGCCCTCTCTAAGCTGTTTATCCTTGAAGTCTATTCAGATCAGGAGCCAGGTGAAGAGGGGACGACAGAACAGCCTCCACCGCCAGAGCGCACAGGTGTGGAGTGGAGTGCCTCTTTGCAAAGAACCATCAAGGCCCTTCAGAAACGCAGGGCTGGAAAGCAAATTCTCATATCTTTTGGAGAAGCCAACTAGTAAGGACAAAAATGAAATTAGATGCCCAAGTATCAAGATGGTCTTCCCTATTGTGTTCAAACTCCTTGAAACCTCAACCCATGAATGTCTTGCTGTAGAAATTGTCATCAGAGATACAAAGCCTTCTGATCCTCAGCCACACATGTCTACTTAACCTGATTAAATGTCAAAATTAGCCTGGGGAATTCCTTACTCTCAGGCAAAAGGACAGTTAACATTTTCAAACAGCTAGTGAGTTGTTTGTTCATTTTTATTCATTGCAGATATATGTAGTCAGGAGCCTACCGTGTTTAGTCTTCTCTAAAGAAGACTTCGGTCTCAGTCCTCAAAAATTAATAGGATATAGAGTTGCCCAAAGTTTTAAGTGCATCTGTGTTTGCACTAGTGGAGTCTTTTTTAACCATTTGCATAGTTATTTGGCTAACTTGCTAGGTTGTCAAAAGTTTCTCAGCAGTTGATCTCAATCAATAGTGAGGAGAGGCCATATCTCTATAAATGGATGATTATCTGTCCACATCAGTAACAGATCAAGCCAGACCCATGAAGCAAAGAGCATTTGATGATCCAGTAAGTTTGGAGTAGTTCAAATGGCCAGATATGAGCATTCGACTGTATGCTGACCTGAGAATTTAGGCAAATACTTCTTTTGCAAATGAGTGGCACTCATTCTCAAACTGTGCTGGGCACCAAGACTACAACACAGATGACCCACCAGCCCAGGGGGTCAGTGCTCTGACAGAGGGCGGCAACAAGGAGCACAGGGACGGGAGGGGAGTCCCAGAGGGTTTGAGCTGAAGATGCTTTGGGGTACGCCCGACTTACTCGATTGTTTCCAGTCTGGTCCTTATAGTAAATCCAGTTCAGGCGCTCATCAGTCCTGTACTGCACACTGTACTTGGTCATCCACTCATCGATGTCACAGCGCCCCTGGGTGAGGATCCCCGAAATCACCTTGATCTCCTTCAGATCTATCTGTAACCACTGGCTGCTGTCCTGGAACTTGGAGAGCCAGGCACACCTGCCGGGAACAAGCCAAATCACCACCCGGAGCCATCCCCTGTGAGTGCCAGCCACAAGCTGGTGGCTGCTGGTGTTTGGGGGGACACTGGTGCCTAGAGAGTCCCCAGCAAAGGTCAGGCAGGCCAGGCTGCCGTCTAAGAGCACCCTGAGCCTTGTCTCCGAGAAGCGTCCAGCCTCTGTTACACTTGCATCTCAGTCGCTCTTGCCCTGCACCTCCACCTCCCGAGAAAAATCACCAGATTCAATTCATCTGTCAAACATGTCTTTCTTCAAAACACACAAGTGCAGCCTGGCCGGTCTCTCAGTGGTTAGCACAGTGTTATGCAGCAAGGCCCAGGGTGCGGACCCCAGTACTGGCCAGTGGCCGGGAAACAGACATGCCCGCGCCTGGCTGTGACACCCGCCAGCGCCTTCCCTTTGCATTAGTCTCTCCTGATCTCTCTTTCTCCACAAGTCTGTTTTTTAAAAAAATTTCACTCTCTTCATACCTGTCTGAGTCTCCTTCAGATGCTGCCATCGTGGCATTCAGAAAGTGTCTACCATGTGCACAACACTGATCCACATGGATCTGGAAGGACTTTGACAAGTGTAAAAGCAAAATAACCATTGACAGAACTGATTTGTTTTCTAGCCACATTCTCATAAATTGTGGAAACCTATAGTCTCCCCCTCCTTTTCTTTCGTTTACTGCATATTAATTAGCTTCCCAGGACTTAGTCCTTGGCTGCCTTTTCTTCTTTTTCCAGACTTGCTCCGTGGGTGGCTCCTGACTTTTTACTTCCATCTCAGACCTTTTCTAAATTCCAAATCCAGAGTCTCTTACCGGCTAGACAGCTTCTCCTGGATGCCTTACAGCCTCGCACATGAACCCTGTCCAAAAGTTAGCTCCTCATTGTGCTGTCCCCCGTGTCCCCAACCCAGCCCCTTCCAGGACTCCTCTCTAAGTGCTACCCCGTCCTCCCAGGTGTTCACACCAGAGATCTGACAGCCGTCCATGGCGCCTTCCTCTCCACCACCCCAAACATCCAATCCATCCATTGGCTCCCTTGCCACATGTGTCTGAGCCATCTACTTCTGTCCATCTTCACTGCCACCACACCAGCCGTCACCCTCATTCCTTGCCGTACCTTAACTAGTCTCCCTGGATTACTCCTCCCCCCCGACTACACAACGCCCCCCACAGGAGCCATAGAACTTTTCTTAAAACACAAATCTGATTGTGATACTTCTCAACTTAAAATCTATCTGGCAGAGTCTGCTAATCGTCTCCTAATGTCGTCTTCCCATCTTCCTCTAGCAATAGACCCCTGAGATTTATCTGGGCAAATGGCCACCTGGCTCAGATTACATTTCCCAGTCTCCCTCGCAGCTAGGTGGGGCCATCTGTCCAAATTCTGGTCAATGGGAAGTGGCCAGTAGGATTTGTTTGTATCCTTAAAAGAAAAGCACGTACACTCTGCTCTTTTTTTCCTCCCTGCTGACGAGAATATGGAAGTGAATGGTGAAAGCTAGAGCAGCCACCTTGGGCCCCAGGATAGAAACTTCGTGTTAAGGATGACAGAACTACAAGGTAGAAAGAGTCTGGGCCCTAATACCATCAAGCTGCCATAACACCCCTAGACGGCCTAATGAAACTTTTAGGGGAGCAAGAAATATATCTCCACATTGTTTAAGTCACTGTAACCTGGAGCTCTTTGTTACAGCAGAACAAACCCACATGCCACTAACACAGTCGTCCCTTGGCATCTGTGGGGGATTGGTTCCAGGACTCCCCTCGGATACCAAAATCCACTGATGCCCAAGTCCCTGATATAAAATGGTGTGTTTGCATATAACCTAGGCACATCCTCCTGCATACTTTAAATCATCTCTAGATCACTTATAATACCTAGTACAATACCTACACATCACTTTATTTGCATGGAATCAATGTAGACCTCAATGCACAGCAAATTCAAGTTTTTCTTTTTGGAACTTTGTGAAATTTTTTTTCCTGGATATTTTTGATTCATAGTTGGTTGAATCCATGGATGTGGAGCCCACAGATGCAGAGGGCCGACTGTACACACCCAGGGTCCTCCCAATAGCCCTAAACTAAGGACCATAATCAGGGACGTGACTTCCAAGGGCCCACGCCATCTGGCTTCTGTCTACTTCTCTCCCTTCTGTCCCCTGTGCCCTGGCCTGGCTCGCCTTCTCTGTTTCACATCCATGCCCTGGGGGTATCGTCCCAGCTCAGGGCCTTTGCACCTGCCCGTGCCTCTTCCCCTCCCTCAGCTGGCTAACTTGAAATCTCAGGTTAGATATTTGTTTTCTTAGAAAGACTTCCCTGCGCTTCAAGTGGATGAAGCCTGCCTTCTTTCTTCATCTCCCCCACGACACTCATCACACGCGCTTACTGAGTAACCAGTTGTCCGATGTGCTTCCAGTCCATCTCCCCCTCTAAACTGTGTGCTTCCTGAAGGCAAGGACCTCATCCATCTTGTCCACTCTATGTCCACAGTCCTTGGCACATGGAAGGCACTCAATCAAGATTTGTTGAAAAAATAAGCGCCTTCTGTGTTGTTCATTTATTAGACCTATTTTTTTCAAAGCCTGTAAAAGAAAATCACCTGGGCCACGTGCCCTGCTTACCCAAAGCCTTGACTGTTGAGCCGGGCCTTGTTTGCAGTCCATGAGGAATACCAGCCCATGTACTGCTCCGGGTTGGAGCAGGTGATCTGGTCTGGTGTGACCTCCCCTGACTCAAAACCCAGAGGCTTGTGATAGGGGCATTCTGGAAAAGGAAAAACAATGCACATTTCAGACACTCATCTCTCAGTCCTCGGCAAACACGAGAAGACTGAAATACCGAAACAAACCCATCTCACTTGCACTTCGGAGATGGAGAATGTTTTCCTCGTCAGCGTGGTTCAGCATGCGTAGAGCTGGGCCTTCAACTGCCCACTGCTCATGTGAGAGGAGAGTGAAGGATGCAGTAAAGGGATTGCCACAGAGAACCACAGCCCTCGTGAAAGCAGAGGGAGGCGGTTCTATGGCAACCTCGCCAGGGGAGGAATTTTGAGAAACACTTCACCTCCTCCCCCAGCGTAGAGACCTGAAAACCAAGAAGTGCACAGCAAAATATCATCTTTAAATGCCATACAGCTTTAGTTCCCTTATTAACGTAGGTTTAGCCATCCTGCATGATGACAACGGGGTCCTTCATTGTCCTTGGGCAGCAGATGATGCCAATTACAGGAACAAAACAATGGTGAGAGGCAAGAAGGGTAATTATATATTGAGAATGACTTCTACTTGTAAATTGCAGTTTTCTCACCAGTCTAATGAAAAAAAAGAAAAAAAGGATGACGTGTGCCTGAGCGACTGCTGAATGAAGAACAGCTGAAAGGAGCTGCTTTTCCCAGATGGGAACAGCCAAAGGTGGTTCTTACATGCTGACTGTCTGCTGCTTCCTCTGGTCTCTGTGTCTTCTCTCACTACAAACAGTGCTGGATTACCTGGTCAAAGACTGCCAATCACCAACCCAGTATCCATTCTCTCCTTTTTTCACTAAAGAACCCTAATTTTATTGGGGGGCAGCAATGTGGCCAGCTAAAAAAAACCACCTTTCTCAGCCTCCCTTGCAGTTAGAAGTGACCACGTGGCACAATTTCTGACCAGGAGATGTAAGAGGATGTCTGCTGGGGATTTCTGGTCAGGTTTTGCTTGCCCCTTCTTTCTTCATGTTGCCTAGACTGAAGGAAGACTTGATGGCTGGTGCAACAGCAGCCATCTTGCACCACGGGGCTAAGGCCAAGAGAACTGCAGAGACCTCAGCTCTGGTATCCTTAAGCAACTCCCTACCCCTCGTCTTTTTACCATGAGTTGAAACAAAGCTCCTAATTCAATAAGCCACTGCTTAGGGGGTCTTTTACTTGTAACCTAACTCAGTTCCTAACTAAATTTCTATACGAAACAAATGATAAGCTTATGTAAATACAGTCTCCTTGTTTTCTGATTGTGAATGATGAACTCCAAGTAAGGCAAATTAAATTATTTTCTCCATGTGTAAATTTGGGTTCAGGTTGGAGATCTGAACATATTTATTGGGGCATCATCTCCTGTAACAGTAAAATGAGTGCTGAAGTCTTTCTGGAGGACAATTTTTCAAGTCAGCAAACCTGAATGAAGCATGCAAAAGCTTGAAGGCCATCCCCAGGCTCCAGAATGTCTACAGAGGCTGTCATGCCCTGTCCCTAGAGGCCGAAAGACAGAAGATCAGCTTCAGGCCTCCAGCCAGGGAGCTGAACTTCCTTACTGCTCTAATGTACCAAAGGAAGAGCTCCAACCCCCATCAGTATTGGCAGCTCGGTGGGGCTGGGGGTGAGGAGACAGCATTTGTATTTTATCAAGTATCGAAGACTTTGTGAGTCTATTAAAATAATGTCAATTACTGGGGGAGAGGAGATGAGCACTTTACGGGACACTCAATCATGCCCATGTGGCCATATCTTCAGGGGAGCTTGTTAAAAATGTAGTTCCCAGAGTTCTACCCCCAGAGCGTCCGCATTTTTAACAAGCACACTTTCAAAGTGCACTTTGAAAACCTTGGCCTGCCAGGGAAGGCATTTTGTTGGCTGGCGGACTCAGAGGACCGAGTGCCCGGGGCACACAGGCTCCTCCACTCCGCCGAAACCCCTCCAGCCTGGAAGATGTAACAGGAGGGAGGGACTAGGCCCCAGCATCGGAAAGCAGGACTGCAATCTGGAAAATTCTACCGTGGATGTTTCTGAGGCCCCTCCATGTCAAGTCAAGCATCTGATGCCTGAACCTGAACCTCCTTTATTTTTTTTTTTTGTTTGCTCAGGGCCACTGGCTCTGAGGAGGAGACCGAGGGGACAGAAAAATCCATTGCTACCTCTCCCACCTTAGTTTTGGCATTTTGCTCTTTCTCTGTTTCCCCTCACATCTCTTTTACCATTTTTTCCCCCAATTAGCCCATATAATGGTTAAGAGAGGGCTGGAGACCTGCAGGGGGACCTGGCCAGTGGCAATGGCCTTGGAGGCCTGTGAGAGCTTGTCCAGGCAGCAGGGAATCTGTTGTTCACCTTGTGATCTAAAGACCCGTTTGTCCACACATGGATCCTGCACCGACTCTCCAGGGGAGGCAATGATCTCTCCGTCCCCTGTGGTTTCAGCTGGTGTCTGGGAGCCAATGCCTGACTCCCAGGCCCCAGCCTCATCCCACTGCCCCCTGAATATTTTCCAAGTGAATATTTCCACATTGGTGACCCAAAGCAGTGTTGTGCCCTATATGCCCCCAACTGAGCCCTTTATTATCTGACCTCCAAGCCTGCTCCCTGTCTCAGGCAGTGACACCTCCAGCTCCCCAGCTGCCTAACCAGAAACCTGGTGGTTTGGCCCAGGGCACAAAGCAGAGACTCTAGACCAGTGGGTCTCAGCCTGGGCTGCATCCTGGAATTACCTGGGGAGCTGTAGAAACTCTGATATTTGGGCCACACCTGCAGAGATTCTGATGTAATTGGTCTTGGGTGGGGCCTGGGCACTGGGACAAAGCTACAGGTCATGGGCAGCCATGGTCAAGAATGCCTGCTTAAGAGTCAAGGAGACTGCATTGGGTCCCACTCTTCCTCGGCACAAGTTTAGGCAAGCTGCCTAACCTCTCTCTCTGAGTCTCAGTTTCCTCATCTGTGAAATGGGCACAATGGTAGTACTTGCCTTCATAAAGTTGCTATAAGATTAAGTGAAATAATGTTTGGAGACTGTAGAGATTGCAGCATAAAGCCTGGCTAAAAAGTAGCAGTTAATATTGGTGTAATAGGGTGGATTCATGAGACTATTGATTATCTTCTTGAGTTTCGCATCTTTTTCTGGCAAAGACTCACCAAGAAGAAAAATCCAGCACCCCTCTACCCTACTCTGTTATGCCGCCATCATACCTGCCCCTCACCACCGACTCCCTGTGGTCTGAGAGAAGCGAAGCCTTGTTGACAGCATCTCTCAGGCTTACGGATTTGGAAGAGCTAGGCCTCAACAGGAATTAGCCGATTGTCCCAGAGGAGGAGGTGACAGCCCCAGCTAAAGTAGCAGGGGCGTGGTGGGGGCCTAAGCTCGGTTGGGCTGCACCAGGGAACAGCCCGGGAGCCTTGTGCTCTGGAAACCCTCAGGCAACTTGAGAAGGTCTCTAGGACCAAGCTTGGCTCAGAGGGACAGGAGCCACCGAGGAGGTATCTGCCTTCCAGTGGGGCCGTGGACCAGGCAAGGAGCCCAGCACCCAGCCTGAGCCCAGGCCCTGCCCCTGGGCAGCCCTTGCAAGCAGGGTTCTTGCAGTCCGAAAGGGAGAGAAAGGACCTTCAAAAGTCCTATCCTTAGACTCCTCAACAGGCCATGACAAGAGAGAGCTCAAACTGGATTTATTTTAATTTGGAAAAATAGAAAAGTGTGACTTTTCTTACATTTTATGTGCCGTAAAATAAACTGCACTCCAGTTCTATCATTGTGATCTTTCCTGACTCCTCTTTTCCCCCTCCGTCCTCCTTCCACGGTCCTGGGGAGCTCCCTTCAGGTCCCATGCGGGCCAGGAGGCCTTCTCTTGAGGCTGTTTTCTGTCCCTCCCCCCCCACTTCACCTGGCCAACTTTCCTCATCCTTGAGATCTCTGCCCATTTCGCCTGCCCATCTGAGCTGGATAAGGGGCCTGGCCTGTCACTTGTCACTCCTTCTGATTGCTTCATTGTCAGCTCCCCTTGTCTGTCTTGCTCCCCATTGTGTGCTCTGAGCCGAGCAGAATGCCTGCACGTGCTGGGCACTCACTAGATAGGGATCGGATGGATGAATGAAGGGACATGCAAACACTGCTGCCCCGCCTTGGGTGGCCACTGGGGACTCAACAGAGAAAATGGCAGAGACAGGAAACAGAGAGCTCAGGGAGGAAGCGGAAATTGACTGCAGCCAAGAGAATTCTCTCTGGCCTAATCAAAAAGACACTGTAAACTGGGGATAAACTAGAAAGCAACATAAATAATGTTGCCAATGGAATTAAGGGGATCCTCATCAGACACACAGAGAATATGACCTTCTCAAGTTTTCTGCCCAATGAAACTTTGTCGCTGTAGCTATTAAACCTGTTTCTATCCTCATTTCACTCTTAAGGAAAAACCTGGATCTTTTGTGGCTGAAGTGGCTCTTCTGAGCCAGGATTTGATAATTGGGTGGATAAAGGTGTATTTGTAATGTGCTGCTAAGCCAGGCTTTGTATGCTGAACAAATGAGCCTTTCATTCAGTCGATACTTTCTGGGTTTGTAGGCATGGAGGCCAGATGTACTTATAAAGAATGTTAACTTAAAGAAACACAAAGAGTTCAGGGACATTCTTTTTTTTTTTTTTTTTTTTTTTTTTATTGTTATTTTTCTATACAGTTTTAATTTTTATACAATTGAGTTTACCAATTTTTAAAATGTTAAGCAGTCGTGTAGAAACACAGAACTCACTTTACCTGTTTTTAAGTAGTGTATGTAAGCCAGTGTTATATTTTCTAGAGGCTCTAAGAAAGCAAGAGAGGGGGAAAGAAGTATGAAGAAAAAAACCTTTGTCTGAATAAACAGAAACTCCAAAGATGTTCTTTTTCCATTTTAAAAAGAAATTCTTAAACTTTTTCAGTTTATTTTTTTTTTTTTCCTGACCAGTAAGGGGATCGAAACCCTCAGCATGGTGTTGTCTGAACCACGCTCGGCCGGTAAGCACTGGCCATCCCTATATAGGATCCAAACCCGTGGCGGGAGCGCCACTGCACTCCCAGCGCCACACTCTCCCGAGTGCGCCACGGGCTCAGCCCTCAGGGACATTCTTGACAAGACATTCCAGAGAGACATGAGTAATATCATGCACGTATAGTAGACTTGAATTTAGATGACAATATAGTAGAATAGGAATAATAAAATATATAGAATAATATTTGTGGAGGACTAGATTATAAACTCAAACATAACATAGAACATAAAATCTAGAATAAAAGTAAAGCATTAGCATATCATTGGATTGCTTATCCTTTCGATACCTTCTCTACCCTATTCCCTGCTGTCAGAGTGCTGGGGTAATCTTGGCTCAACTGTGGAAAAGACGGACCCGTTAGTATTTCTAATAGTGTTAAGCTGCAGATTAGGGGGCCATAATGCACCCAGCCTTCTGCTGTGTGGGTGGGGCCCCGGACATTAGCAGGCAGTGTGCACCAGCAGCTCCACCTGGCAGCTCTAGGTGACCCCACTGTCCTTCTGTGTTTTCTAGGGTCTTCTTCTCTCCCAAGGCGGGCTGTGGTGGAAGCACTGAACCTCAGGGTCCAGAGAAACCAAGCAGCCGTCTTGACATTCCGATGAGAATTTGAGGTACTGCCAGGCAAGTGACTTCTGGAAGCCTGTGGCTAGTCCTGCTGCCCTGAATCCTCTCTTTCATGGAAGAACCAATTAACACCAATGAAGCAACCATTTAACGCTGAGGTTGTGTTTTTTTTTTTTTTTTTGTCCTTTTTGAGACCGGCCGCACCGCGCTCAGCCAGTGAGTGCTGTGAGCGCACCGGTCATCCCTATATAGGATCCGAACCCGCAGTGGGAGCGCTGCTGCGCTCCCAGTGCTGCACTCTCCCGAGTGCGCCACGGGCTCGGCCCTGAGGTTGTGTTTTTTCCTTTCTGAAAATATCTGCATTGTTTAAAAAAAAAAAGAAAAAAACCAGTGGGGAGAGAACACTTAGGCTAAAAGAATTGCTAATTTTAGAACTTCAAGTTCATGTAGGGGAGGTAGACTGGGGGACCAGGCCCTTCTCAGCGTCACAGTTGTTGGGGTCAGTGAAGCCAATCCACATAAATAATATCTCTTCAATTTCTTCTTAGACAGAACTTCCTTGGAATGGAATTCCACTAGTTCTTATGTCTCTATTGAAAAGAATATTTGCTGGGCAGGCCTGTGGCTCACCTGGGAGAGTGCGGTGCTGATAACACCAAAGCCACGGGTTCGGATCCCATATAGGGATGGCCGGTTAGCTCACTTGGGAGAGCGTGGTGCTGACACCAAGTCAAGGGTTAAGATCCCCTCACCGGTCATCTTTATTTAAAAAAAAAAAAGAAAAGAACATTTGTTTCCAACATTTACCATTTTCAATGGTAAATTCCTCCAAAGTGGAGACAGCGCCTTCATTTCTGTCTTCCTTTCAGTGCCTGGCACATCATAGGTACAGAATGAAAGAGGGTCGAATTGAATTGTAAGTGGATTTTAAGGAAGGTGCTTCGATATTGATTGGGCAGATCACACAGACACGTAACGGCTGCGGGAGCTAATGCCTGGCACGAAGGGATGTCCCGGAGGAAGAGTCCACTGGGCAGAACAGTGCTTGCTGCTTTCCTTATGACCCGGATGCCAGTGTTCCCCTGGAGAACAGACTTCCTTCCTACTCCTTTAGTAAATAGGAAAACAGAGGCTTTAGAAGCCATTGTACCCTCTCTCTCCCTATGCAGCAATTTGCCGTTTTAATGCAAATTTAACGAAAAAATGAAGGGAGGCTCACTCACATAGCCACAAACCTGTCTCTCTTGGAGCTATTATTAGGCAATTATGTAAAGTGAATGAGGTTGCAGGGCACCATCATCACCCCGAAGAGGGGAGGCAAGGCCAGTTTTATGCAAAATAGGCTCTGAACCTTAGAAAGGATTAAGCATTGCAAATATTTGCTGGGACTGACCAGTCTTCTAAAAGCCTCTGAAAGTCCTCAGAGTGTGAGCTCTTAGGAGGCAGGAAGAAAAGGAACTGACCTTTATTAAATGCTACAGTTCACAAGGTACAACCCAAGATGCCTTGATGCCTCATCTTATTTATTTCTCACAACTGCCCCTTAGAACAGGGGTCAGCAAACTGTGGCCCTTGGGCCAAATCTGGCCCACCACCTGTTTTGTAAATAAAGTTTTATTGGAACACAGCCATGCCTGTGCATTTACATATTGTCTATGGCTGCTTTCCAACTACAATGGCAGAACTGGGTAGTGGAGACAGACTGTTTGGTCCATAAAGCCACAAATATTTACTATCTGGTCCTTTACAGACAAAGTTTGCTGGCCCCTGTCTTAGAGGAAGGCATTCATATTAGCCAGGACAGCCTACATTCGCTGCAGAACAAGTTGTCCTGGAAATTTCAGAGGCTTCACATAACACAGGATTATTTTTCATTCAGGTGACTTGTCTACTGTGGGTGGGCAGGGGGTTCTGCTCCACTTAATCACGCAAGAACCAGGCTGAAGAAGAAGCCACTATCTCAACAGGTGGCTTCACAGCAGGGAAAAGGAGAGCCAGAGAGTTGAGTGCCAGGCCTGGAAGTGGCCTGGAACTGCTCATATGGGGCCACCTGACTGCAAGGGGGCTGGAAAATGTGAGGGGCGTTTGGTGAGCAGAGTATCCAGGCACAGGACTGTCACTTCCATTGGTCAGAAAAAGAACAAAATCGGGTCCCAGCTTACCATTGCAGCCAGGCCAAGTAGAGATCCAGGAAGCTATTTCTGAACAACATCAGTGCAGTCTGCCGAAGCAGTGGCCAGTGTGAGACTTGAAGCTCAGAGGCCAACTGGAGAAAACCCAGAGCATAGCATTCACAGCATTAATTCAGCTGGGTTGAAAGGACTGTTCCGATCTGGTGCCCCAAGGAGAAGGGACACTCACCTGGTATGCAGTCTAGGGTGGTGGCGCCTGCCGACCACGGAGTGCTGGCTCCTCCTTGGCAATCGCACTTGCACACTTTGTGGTACCAGGATTCCTCGCCCTCGTCCTGTGGGCGGCCAGAGGGGCAGGACGTCAGAATAGTCAAAGTCAAAGGCAACTGTGCTCAGAACCACTGGAAATCTAGTTTTTCAAAACCATGCCCATTCCTGATGTATGGTCCATGGCTGCTTTGCTACAATGGCAGAACCGAATTATTAATCCAGCTTCTACACAGAGTTGCCATGTGTCTTTGATTCTAAATAAGCAAATGTCTGCCACTGTGGGTGATCAGCTAATAATCTCACAGACACACCCATGTAGAGGGTACTGTTCACCCCATTACGGTTAGTTTCAGGGGTTTGGGGAGCCCCAGTACAATGCTGGGTACTGGACTCAAGATTGTGCCATCTGATTTAAGACATGGTTTACTTGCCTCCTCTTACTTAACACCAATCTTGGAGCTTGCCCAGATAAAACATGCTATTGCCACCACCAGAAAAAAAATACATTAATAAAAAAAAACAAGAAGAAGCAATAGTGCTATACATTATTTTTGGCTAGGAAAATCCTCAAAAGCAGTATCCATGTAAATTCTAGCCTTCTTACTGTAACATACCTCTGTAGACGATAATCCCAGTGTGGCTGAGCAAAGGGACAAGAGAAGAAAAATCAAATTAAAAAAAAAAAAAGAGAAATTCAACAAAATCATTCATTACATGGAAAAGTGAAATGAAAATAGTGAAAGTTAACAAAGCCCCTTCTGGAAGAATCAAGCTAAGGAAATATCTGCCCAGAAAAACATGCACAGATACTGAGAAACTAGGGACAGTAAAATTAAACACAAAGAACAAGATGACAATTATTATTTTTGTTCATTGCAGAATTTTGGAAAATACATCAATGTCATTTTTCTGTGTATATATATATGTATTTTGGCTGCTGGCTGGTCTAGGGAATCCGAACCCTTGACCTTGGTGTTACCAGCACCGCACTCTAACCAACTGAGCTAACTGGCCAGCCCTCTCTATGCATATTTTTTAGCATAGTTGAGAAACTACTATCTAAACAATGTTGTATCCTGCTTTCCTTCCCACTTAACATTAGCTGTGTGATCTTTTTCCTTTTCTTGTTAACTCTTCTTCATCCTTGTCCTCGTCACTCCTGGTGTCTGCCTAACAATGTGCTCCTCATGAGTTGATTCCCAGTTCCCTCACTGTCCCACATTTAGATTATTTCGGATGAGAGCATTGTTTAGAAATTCTTTTTTAGGTTTGTTTATAACATATAGGAAACAGCAAACAGCAAAGTATAAATACCATATAAATAATGTGGGAAAATGGAAAGTATGCAAAAATTAACATAAAACTAACATATAAACTCTCTTTACAGAAGTAGGAATAAACAGAATGAATGCACAATTTAGTAGGAAAAGAGCTTGTGTATGTCAGCATACACCGATCGTTTAAAGCTACACTGTTCAGTGCAGTAGCCACTTGTCCCCTGGGGCTATTGGCATTTAAAATAATTAAATAAATAAAATTAGAAATTAAATTCCTCAGTTGAACCAGCCACGTTTCAAGTGTTTAATAGCCACAGGGAGCTAGTGTTTACTGAACTGGACAGCACAGATACAGAACATTTCCATTATTGCAGAAAGTTCCAGTGGACAGCACTGATTTAAAGCACCGATAGGGTATAGGAAATACTACCCCCAAATATGACTCCTTGGCATACTGAGTATTTTCAGTGGAAGGAAATTGTGAAAACTGCAGAAGCAGGAAGCTTTCTCTGAATTTCTCCTGCCCCCTCTCTCCTGAAGTGGGCCACAGAAACTGACATTCCCCTTGCCCCTTTCTCCCCTGAAGTGGGCCATAGAAACTAGAATCCCCCTTGCCCCTTCTTCCCTGAAGCAGGCCATAAAACCTAGGAAGGTCACTCCAACTTTGTCCCCTGAAGACATTATGATAGTTAATTTTATGTGTCAACTTGACTGGATTAAGGAATACCCAGAAAAATGGTAGTTCAAGTTGGGTGTGTCTGTGAGGGTGTTTCCAGAGGAGATTGGCATATGAGTGGGCACTGTCCAATCGTCTGGGGGCCCAGATAGAACAAAACCTCCCTCTTTTGGAGCTGGGGCACTCCCCTCCCCCTGCCCTCAGACATCAGAATTCCAGGCTCCCCAGCCTTTGGACTCCAGGACTTACACCAGCGGCCCTCTGGGTCCCCAGGCCTTCAGTCTCTGACTGAGAGGCCATCAGCTTCCCTGGTTGGGAGGCTTTTGGACTTGGACCGAGCCATGCTACCAGAATCCCAGGGTCTCCAGTTTGCAGATGGCCTGTCATGGGACTTCCCAGCCTCCATAATCACGAGAGCCAATTCCCTTATTAAATCCCCTCTCACATATCTATCTCTTTCTATATATACAAGGACACTTCAAAAGGTTCATGGAAAGATTCTATTTTTCCATGAACTTTTGGAAGTACCCTTGTATATCCTATTTGTTCTGTCTTTTTGGAGGACCCTGATCTCCCCATTTCTTTCTGTCTTTATTTCTGAAGCCTCCCATGCCATGTACAACTTATTAGCTAAATTTGCATGCTTTTCTCTTGTTAATCTGTCCTTTGTTACAGGTGTCTCAGCCATGAACCTTGCGATGGGTGAGGAAAAGATAACACTTTTTCTTCCCTACAGTACCAAAACTCCATTTCCCATTTTCAACAAAACAAATATCTTTGTTTCTTCTCTGACTATAAAAGCAACACATACCTACTGTAAAAATTTCAAACAAGGGGCCGGCCCGGTGGCGCACTGGATAAGTGCGCTGCTTGGGAAGCGCGGCGGCGCTCCTGCCCGAGGGTTCGGATCCCACATACAGACCGGTTCCCACTCACTGGCTGAGCGAGGCGCGGGAGCAACACCGAGGGTTGCAATCCCGTTGCCGGTCCTCGGCCCGGCACGGGGGCAACACTGAGGGTTGCGATCCGCTGCCGGGAACGGA